TGCCACCAGTTGGTGTGGCTCAACAGCTCTATTACAGACTATTAAAGTGACATAAAATACATATGTAAACTGAAAAAAAAATGGTAACGTTTTTTGGTATTTACTTGATCATATTTAGTTACTTTAACATAATTGTTTCATGTTAGTGGGGTAGGACATAAAGAAATTTTGTTAAAGTAAATAAATATGATTAAGTAAATGTCAAAATCAGTTGCATTTTTTTTTTCAGTGTAAAAGTGTCATCATTAGTTCTCAGATCATAAGTCAGTCAACCTAACTGTGTTTACCCTTCAGCTATTTGTGAACATGACCTTTATTCTTTGTTGGAACAACTATTAGTCCTCATAGAGAGCAAACGGTTATCGTCGAAGAAGAAGCTAAGTGAACTTAGCAAAACTTGCGTTAACATTAGGATTCTAAAAAACACTCTGATTTCATTTGATAATATGGTTGGTATTGCTTTTAAGACTTAAACTTAGACTAAGTTTATACAGAATTTCAACATTGTGGGAGAACAAAACATGGTGCAAAAAAAGAAATTGATATGGTCAGTTTGATGCAGAGCCTATGAAATTACTTAAAGTTTTTTCAATATTCAGCCTGTCAGATGGCGGTGGGGAAGAAGCTATTTTGGAATCTGCGGGTCCTTGTGCTTCTGTAGAAGTTCATGAGGATGTGTGGGGGTTCTCCTCATCCTCCACAGGAAGTACAAGAGCTTCTATGCCCTTTTGACCAGTGAGGTGGTGTTTACAGTCCAGTTGAGGGTGTCTGTTATTTGCACCCCCAGGAATTTGGTGCTGCTGACCACCTCTACAGCTGAGCTGTTGATGAGCAATGGACTGTTGTTAACCTGGTTCTTCCTGAAGTCGACAATGATATCCTTAGTTTTCTCCACATTAAGGATCAGGCTGTTATCTCTCCACCAATCCACCAGCTGCTCCACCTCCTCTCTGTAGGCCTGGTCATTATCGTCTCTCATGAGGCCCACCACCATGGCGTCGTCAGCGAACTTCATGATGTGATTAGTTGTGAACCTGAGGATGCAATCATGTGTCATCAGAGTGAACGGCAGGGGACTCAGGACGCAGCCCTGATGGGAGCCTGTGCGTAGGGTGATGATATTTAGAGGTGTTCTGTCCAACCTGGACTGACCGAGGTCTGTTTGTGAGGAAGTCTTATGACCAATTGCAGAGGGGTGTATTGAAGCCCAGCTGTTCAAGTTTTCCTATCAGATGCTGTGGGATGATGGTGTTGAAAGCTGAACTGAAGACCAGGAACAACATCCACATGTGGGTATTCTTCTCCTCCAGATGTGCCAGGCTCAGGTGGAGAGTGAAGGAGATGGCGTCCTCAGTGGAGCAGTTCCATCGGTAGGCGAACTGGAACGGGTAGAATTTTTGGAGAAGACTGGAGACGATGTGTTGTTTAACCAGCCTTTCGAATTACTGTACTTCATCATGATGGGAGTCAGTGCGACAGGCCAGTAGTCATTGAGGGAGGTGACCTGAGGCCTCTTTGGGAGCGGAATGATGGTGGCAGACTTAAAGCATGCAGG